CTATACTACGTATAAGTGTTTAGTATTGAATTTATTTTGACGCACCGTGACAAAGTGCTCGTCACCATGCCTGCCCCGTCTTGTGCGTCCAACAGCGACCGGAGGACTGGATCTCCGACATCGTCACCTTCGTCACGACGGGGGAGCTGCCCCCGGACGAGGAGAGGGCCAAACTTACCAAACTCAGGGCCCCAAGCTACACCATTGAAGATGGCAAACTCTACAAACGATCCTATAATGGCACTCTCCTCCGATGCCTGCACCAGGATGAGGCCGACGTGGCCATGGAAGAAGTTCATTGTGGCGTGTGCTCCTCGCACCAGGGCCCTTTCAGCATGTCCCGGCGTCTCGTCGTCCAGGGCTTCTTCTGGCCGACGAAAGCGCGAGACTGTGCGGACCTGGCCAGGAAGTGTACCACGTGCCAGGTACTCCAGAAGGCCCCTGGTCGGCCAGCCGTCAACTACGCCCCCGTCAGCACTGCAATTCCATTCTCTAGATGGGGGATTGACCTGATCGGCCCCCTGCCCAGAGCAGCCGAGAACAACCGCTACATCATCGTCGTCGTCGACTACTTCACCAAGTGGGTCGAGGCGGAACCCCTGGCCAGCATCACGGGGGCCAGGTGCCAAAAATTTGTTTACAAGAACATCATCACACGCTTCGGCGTCCCCCAGGAGATTATATCAGACAACGGCACCCAATTCGAGGCAGCCCCTTTTCAGGAGCTCCTCCGGGAGTTTGGGGTGAAGCATCGTTTCTCCTCCGTTACCTACCCTCAGGGCAACGGGCAGGTCGAGAACGCTAACAGGACAATCATGGAGGGGCTAAAGAAGAAACTCCAGGCCGCAGGAGGTAGTTGGGTCGACGAGCTCCCCAACATCCTGTGGTGCTACAGAACCACGCCGAGGAGGGCGACAGGTGAAACGCCTTTCGCCCTGTGCTATGGCTTTGAGGCAAAGGCACCCACGGAAGTTGCAATCCCCAGCCGACGGGTGGAACAATACGAGCCTGACGCCAACGAAGAAAACATGAAGATTGACCTGCACCTGATCGACGAGAGGCGTGAGCAAGCTTACGTCCGAGCAGAGAACTACCGGCGTCAAGTGAAATCATACTATGACGCCAAGGTACGTTCCCGGGAATTTCAGGTGGGGGACTACGTCCTCCGCCGAAGGGAAGCAAGCCAGCCAACAGAGGGTGGCAAGCTAGCATTGAGGTACGAAGGGCCCTACATCATCAGTGCCGTGGTCAAACCCGGCACCTACAAGCTTAAACGCCCGAATGGGTCCAATGTACCACGAACGTGGAATGTACACCATCTGGTGAAGTTTTATCAGTAGTCCGAAGGAGGTGCAGACGGCGAAGCCCTCACCTCTTAACGGATTGTTGGTTGAACGCCACCCTCGACCTCGAGCCACTTATGAATAAAATCATGTTCTTGATTTTTTCTTTGGAATTTGAAGTAAAATATTGGCAGGTGCCCTCATCGGCCACCTTAGAGCGAAAGCCTCAGGTATGGCCGACACGGCACCTTGCATTTGCAGCCTATGAGCGACAAGCTCAGGCACTCCATTGTATTTTGTATCAGCGAAGGGCTCAGGCCTAGCTGAGAGAGCACATCGTCCTGGCCCCGTAAGCCTAGAAGTGAAACGCTCAAGTATGGCCGACGATGTCCCCAGGACGAGGGGCCCGCAAACGGCCCACGTCTTGAAACGGGAAGCTCACCGCGTCGTCCACACGCCGGATCGCAGGACGACAGGCCTGAAATCATGGCCGAGGTGACAAAATCCCAAAACTCAGGGATGGGCAATGACAGCCGTTGGAAACCGACCAAAAGTCTAGCCCGCGTCATAAATAGGCGACGGGACCCGCCCTGAGATCACGGACGTTATAAACGAAGTCCGAACCGACCGAAGGACGAGCACACCCTTCGGCCGAAGCCTGAAAGAAGGATACTCCCCTGAAATACGGAACGAAAAAAAAGGGAAACCGAGGACCGCGCGCACTTGCCGGCCTCGAGCAATGAAAAAACAAAATCCCCACAACTCAGGCCAAACTTGGCTAAGTACATATCAGTTGAACACAAGTGTAGTACCACTAACAGGTGACATGGACGACATAGCCACACGTCCATCACAAACAAGGGAGTCGTCAAGGACGAAGCATACGCCTATAAAACCCTAACCAGTGGTTGGGTGACACGCGAGTGGTAACCTTCATCGGCCACAGCTCTTTGAAGCACCAACACTTAGTAGGAAATAAAGAATCACAATCCTGGAAGATGACCAGGACGAAGCGGGCAGCATCAATCCTGAGGATGACCAGGACGAAGCGAGCAGTATCACACCCGCGGAAGAATTAAGCATTCAAGCAACAATCCCTACCGGCCACAGCATTCCGGATGACCGTTGCAGGCACTGAAACCCAGGCTGTTGGCCAAGCGGAAGATTTGTCCAAGTGTTCACCAAACACTTAGAGAAAATTCCTGAGGAAAAAGGTTCCTTAAAAAAATTCCGACACTTAGAGAAACTCTCGGGGAAAGCAAATGGCACCCTCGTCGGCCACAAATCCAGACCTTGGCCGATGAAGGTAAACCCATCTCTTGGCCGACAACGGTACCACAAAGAAGGAACTGTCTTGCATTTATACTTAGAAAAATCTCTAAGTATTTAAATGGAGAAACTCTAGACGAAGCGGGCACCAGTATACTCGCAGGCCGTTAGCTACCTGTGTCTTGCATGTGTACTTAGAAAAATTTCTATGTTCAAAAAACTAAGTTCAAATTACCCAAGGCAAGGAACGAAGACATACAAGGCCGAAGGGGATGACGAGCACTTTGTCACGGTGCGTCAAAATAAATTCAATACTAAACACTTATACGTAGTATAGCGTAGTAGAGTTCGTATCCACAGGGAAAGGAATAATTCTCTTTTTATGATACTTAGTAAATCAAAAGGGGGGATTTGGATTGAGTGATTTGATTTAATTAAGAACAAAGATGAATAACCTATATGTGTTTAATTCAAAGATAAAAGGGACTTGGCATTGCTACTTTCCACTTGTTGATATATTTTAGTCGATCATTGTTATATCTATAACTTATTCCCTCTCGAATACTCAATCGGGGAGTATATCCACTTCATCGAGGGTAGTTATTAACAACGACTGTTCATTAATAACCCTTACTATTAATCAAATATAGAACAACGCCTTATACCGATTTAATAGTAGCATTTAATCTTTCTAACTCCTTGATGAAATCGATTGAGATTGATAACCTCAACACAAGCGGTTTCGGTTTAACCAACAAAATTAATCCCTCTTAAGTTTATTAACCACGACCGTGCATTAATAAACCGAAGTTACTTACTTGTGAAACCATCAACGATTAACCATCGGTTCGTTGATCGTTTCTAGTAATAATTAATATATGAAACAAAACTAGTTGATCCTTTAAGTAATGTTCAAAATATTAATATGAAATAAGAGTAGGAATTAATTAATATTCAAGGAAGGATATTATTAAAGAAGATGAATCCTACTATGATTAATATCAAGATGTTAACTAATTGTCATCTTAGCAACACTCCCCAACATTAATATAGAGGAAGAAAATACCATTCTAACTAATGTCGAGATGTTAACTAATTGTCATCTTAGCAACACTCCCCAACATTAATATAGAGATGGTATTAAGGAAAGAACTATTAATTAATATTCAAGGAAAGAAGTTAAGAAAATAACTCACAACTTTAATAATCAACAAGCTTCAAGAGCAACACCAAGAATGGAAGTTTAGCTCCTCATTTGGAGACTAAACATAGCTAGAAAAATATAAAGAAATGCTATTCTAAACTGAGCTAAAGAGAATGGAAGAAGGGATGCTTTTTAGAGGAGAAAAAGAGTGCTATTCATAGGTGTTTTTCAACACCTCTGGCCGGGTACCCGACCGGGTATAGGTACATACCCGACCGGGTACCGGTCAAAATCAGATAATCTCTCACGTTTCATTGTTCCAGCACGTTAATTTGTCCCGGGTCAAGTCAGACCCGACCGGGTCAAGTGAGGGACCCGACCGGGTTTGGTCTAAATCAGAATTTTTTTCCAAATCTTTGTGATCTTCAGCATATTCTGGTGTTCCGGGTCATATCTGACCCGACCGGGTCGGGTAAGGGACCCGACCGGGTCTTACTTTTTCTTCTTAGATCTGTTCTTCAACTGACCCGACCGGGTTCAAGGTCTGACCCGGTCGGGTTTTTGTGCTCCTGGGTCTTTTTGTCTTCAGTTTTTCTCCCCTTTTCCTTGCTACAAACTCTATCACAATTCTATAACTACGAAAAGAAGGAGAAAGCAATTACAAACAAAATAAAACAAGTACTTACAAACTAACTAAAAGCGATGGAAAATCCACACCCAATCAACATAAAAACATACATTTATGCACTACAAACTAGTGCATATCAGGGGACAACAACCCGTGTACCCTTATCGGCCACAACACAAGGATCCAGGCCGACCTCTCTGATCAGATCAGGAACAAGGGAACACAACGGCCACGAAAAACACTGGGCCGACAATAACGACATCGGTTCAACACTTGGGGAATTTCCCAAAGCATTTGTCAACACTGAGGAGAGGCTCAATACCAGGACGATGAGAACACCCACCTACTTGAAGTTGGACACTTAGAAAAATTCTAACAAGAAGAAGAATGGGACAATGCCAAGACGCAGCGGACACCCCAGCTTGCCCGCCTCGGTCAGGATGAAAAGAAAGCACCTAAGTGGATCTAAAACACTTAGGAAATTTATGAATAAATCCCAAGTGTTACGACAGCGAAGAAACACCGGACAGGCCGACAAGGCCACCAGCCTAAATGGACTACCTCACGGACGTAGCAAACACTCGCGGGTGACCTAAGTTGCAACTTAACACTTGGACAAATTTCAAAATTGAAATAGCAAAAGGGAATAAACATACAAAACATTCAAAGCCGAGCAGGACAGCAAAGCGTTCATTCATCAACAGTTAAGTACATTGGTGGGCGCTTCGGCCATTACATCACATGGGCAGAAATAAAAGGTAACTAATTACAAGATAGGGAACGGGGAGTAGCCGATCAAGTCTCTTGGGCGCCTCCATCATGCCCAGCCTGGGTTTGATCTCCGGCATCTTCAGTTCCCTCCTCGGCCTCAGTCTCCTGGTCGGCGGCAGCTGCAGAACTGGTGGCATCATCCAGGAAATCAAACTCGCCATAGTCCGGCTCGCCGAGGCCGGAACTCTCGATTGGGGCCTCCTTTTCCGAAAGAGGAAGCTTGGCCTGCTCCTCGGGATCCTTCATCAGCCTGGGAAGCCTCAGGTTTCGCCTCGCCCACCCAGAGGTATAGTTCATGGCTTTAAGGGCACGCGCCAGCCGCCGGCACAGGAGCCTCTGCATCCGTTCTTGGCCCATGTTGTAGTACACGGACATCTCCCTTCCAAAGTACTCTTGGCCGGCGGGGGAGTTCATTCCCCAATCTTCGAGCTTGGCGGCCACCACTTCATAGCACCAGGGGAGCCGCTCGTCGGCCTTCCATCCCTCGGCCAGGAACTTTTGAACGGCCTCATCAGCGACCTTCACAGCGGCAGCCTCGACCTCAATTTTGGCCTTCACGGCTTCATCATTCTTGCGCCGCTCAGCCTCAAGCGCCCTCTGGCTCTCCTCAAGTTTGGCCAGGGCATCGTCCCTGGCTGCAGCTGCCTCATCGGCTCTCTTCTGCAGAGCCTGGGCATCCTCTCGGAGCCGATCCAAGCAGGCCACCGCCTCATCGGCCGAGGCAGCTTTTTGCTCGAGCTCCTTCAGACGAGCAATCTCCCGTTGCTGCCTTTTGTGGCTCTCCATGAGCATGAAGGCACCCTACAAAACAAAGATAAACAAAGACTCAGGCAATGACTTCACACAGACGACGAGAAAAACAACAAATAAAAGGAAAGGGAACTTACTTGGACGATGAGGTCCATCCCGCCTTCATACACCTTGACGTCCCCGAGCCTCTTGAGGTAGGCCCGATCCTTGGCCGGCATGGCCTGGGCAAGCACATCATGGCCGAGGACGCCATCGTCAAAGACACCCCCGCCAACGGGGTACTCCACCATTTTCTGGTAGGTCGCAGCGGCAATCTCCTTGCCAGCCCGCTTCGTCCGAGTCTCCTGGCCGAGAGGGAGCGGCTGAGCAACGGCGCTGGAAGGAGCAGCGGTAAGATCCACGACGGCGGCAGCAGAGCCAGAACCACCATCGTCCACATTGGGGACGGTCAGAACGCCGACCTCATCGGCATGGGAAGGAGACGGCGCCCTCTTCGTCTTCTTAGCGAGATTCAGGCCAGCCTCGGTCAGCTTCTTCTGGCCGTCAGTGGGAGACCGCTTCTTCTTTGACTGGGCAGGCTTCGGGGCTGCACCAGCAGTAGCCCCGCCCCCATCGGCCGCGGCACGCCTCGCCGCCTCGACCGCCTTCGCAGCCAGCTCCTCGGCCGCCTTGGCCTTGGCTATGGCCATAATCGAACGACGATCCATCACAAAGTCTACACAAAGGAAAATGAACAGGTTAGCAAGGCAAAAGAACAAAAAACAAAGGAAAAAGCCGGAGAAAGTATTACCATCGGCCTCAGCAGGAATGCCCAAATCCGGGCCGTCGGCCTCTTCGAAGGTAGTGGTCATCCTCGGCCACAGTTGGACATTGTCCTCCTTGTCGCCATACACATAGTACCTAAAGAAGCCGAGGGCGGTCATCTTATATTCAGTGATGTAGTCTTTCACGCTCCTCGGCCCCCCATCCAGGAACGCCTCCACCTGAGCGTCCAGGATCGAACTCTTCGGCGGGTCGTGCAGATTGAACCTCCCAGTGTGGCCGAGAGAGGGAAACTCAGTGCCGTTATCACCAAGGGACACGAAAACGAACTTGCTCTTCCACCCATGGATGGACGAAGGCAAGCCCGTGAAGCTCCTCTTCTTCGGCAACTGTTGGAGAGTAGCGTAGGCCGCACAGTTCTTGTGACTTCCTCGGCCAATCTGATAAAAGTGTTGAGCTTGTTATACACGAAGAAGAACACAAATAAAGAAGGCAATCAAAAGCTCATACGTTCATTGAATGAATTAGGCTTTATATAGCCATATTACAAGAGATAATAACCACTAAATGAAAATAACAAACTCCTAGTTTTAAGCCATGCTTGTACGTGCATAACAATCCTATCCACTAGCTACCAACACCTTCTAAACAATAGGTAACAACCTTAGACTTATTCAAATGCTTAATAACTAAACAAATAATAAGCAAATGTATCAAATGTTACGTATGCATGTGGCCATGCACTTCTAACTGGGATCACTTTCAACACCACCCCTTGATCCAAGCTTAGTCATCCCAATTCTCTTCATGAAGTGATAATGCTTTGTATGATTCAGTGCTTTAGTGAATAGATCTGCATTTTGCCATTCAGTACCACAGAATTGAAGTGAAATACTTCCTTTTGCCACAAGCTGCCTTATGAAATGATGTTGAACATCAATATGTTTGGTCCTGGAATGATAGGCTGGATTTTTTGTCATTGCTATAGCTGATTTGTTGTCACACCACAATTCAATTCCTTCTGATTGAGAACATCTCAAGTCCTTCAGTAGTTTGCTGATCCATAAAGCTTGCTTTGATGCTGCTCCAGCTGCCACATATTCAGCTTTTGAGGAGGATAAAGCAATGGTTTCCTGCTTCTTTGAGCTCCAAGTTACTGCCCCTGATCCTAGGTCAAAGACTGATCCTGACATGCTCTTCCTGTCATCCACACACCCAGCCCAATCACTATCAGTATACCCTCTCAATTTGAGCTCTTTCAGACTTGAGTACCACAATCCATACTCCAATGTTCCAGCAACATATTTTAAGATCCTCTTTGCAGCACCAAAGTGTTGTTTGGATGGTTTTTGCATGTACCTAGACACAATACTAACACAATAAGCCTGATCAGGCCTTGAATGTGTTAGATAATTGAGTCCCCCTACAAGGCTTCTGTAAAGTGTGACATCTGCATCCTCAGTACCATCACATTTCTGAAGCTTCTCACTTGAATTCATAGGTGTAGCAATAGTCTCACAAGTCTCCATGTGAAACCTTTTTAGGAGATTAATAGCATACCTCTTCTGGCTAAGAAAGGTGCCCTCTTTTCCTTGCTTAACTTCTAAGCCAAGGAAGTACTGAAGCAGACCCAAATCAGTCATCTCAAACTGATTGGTCATTGATGCTTTAAAAGAGGTTAGTAGACTTTGTGAAGAACTGAAATAGATAATATCATCAACATAGAGGCAGACAACTAGAAATTCCATACCTTCCTTCTTAACATACAGAGTAGGCTCATTGTCACTCTTCTGAAATCCTGAGTTGATAAAAAAGGAATCAATTTTACTGTACCATGCTCTAGGGGCCTGCTTTAGCCCATAAAGAGCCTTCTTGAGCCTATACACCTTTTCTTCTTCCCCTTTCTTCACAAAGCCTACTGGTTGATGAACAAACACTTCCTCAAGTAAGTCACCATTAAGAAAGGCTGACTTGACATCCAATTGGTACACAGGCAGCTTCAATTGCGCAGCCAATGCAAGGACAATCCTTACAGTTTCAAATTTGGCCACAGGAGAGAAAGTCTCTTCATAGTCCACCCCTTCTTTCTGAGCATAACCTTTGGCTACAAGCCTAGCCTTATGCTTAGAAATACCTCCATCTTGATTGTATTTAGTTCTGTACACCCACTTTACGCCAATCACATTCTTTTCTTGGGGCAGATTCACCAACTCCCAGGTTTTGTTTCTCTCAATGGCATTAATTTCTTCCTGCATTGCCTGTCTCCACTCATCATAGATGGCAGCCTCATGATAATCTGTAGGCTCAGTAACAATGAAAGCAAAATCACAAGATTCATATATATCAACTAGTGACCTGACTTTTCTAGGCTGATCACCTGATGAACTGCTAGATTCTGAGCTAGAGCTTGATGAGTTGCTAATTTCACAACTGTCATTTGTGTTGTTTGGAGAATTTGGAGGAGTGGTTGGAGGTGAGGAGTTGACAGGAGTAGCTGGTTCTGATTGAGGTGAAGGTTGATCATCAAGACTTACAATTCTGGGTGCTTCTTGCTCAGTATTGGACTCCCAATTCCAGGCTGCATCTTCATCAAAGATCACATTTCTGCTAATAACAATCCTTTTTGTAAGAGGATTGTAGAGTCTGTATGCCTTAGATTGAGTTGAATATCCTATAAAAATGCATTTTTCTGCCTTATCCTCTAGTTTAGTTCTCTGGTTCACTAGAGTGTAGGCTATGCATCCAAACACTATCAAATGACCTACTGAGGGTCTTTTCTTTCTCCGTGCCTCAAATGGTGTGCTATTTGGGACTGCTCTAGTTGGACATACATTCAGAATGTACACAGCTGTGGATACAGCTTCACCCCAGAACTTGGTTGGCATATTTTTGGCTTTTAACATACTCCTTGCCATCTCAACAACTGTCCTGTTCTTCCTCTCTGCTACCCCATTTTGCTCAGGGGTATAGGGTGCAGTAAACTCTCTTCTTATGCCATACTCATCACAAAGCTGGGCAAAAGCTTTAGAATTAAACTCACCTCCTCTGTCAGTCCTTAGTGCTTTAACTGACTTTCCAGTTTGATTCTCAACTAAAGCCTTAAACTTCTTAAAGTTTTCAAGGGCTTCAGACTTGGCCTTTTGAAAATAGACCCAGGACATTCTAGTGAAATCATCAGTGATCAATAAGAAGTACTTACTGCCTCCTAATGACTCAGTTTCCATTGGACCACATAAATCAGCATGGAGCAGTTCTAGACATTCACTTGCTCTCCATGAGCCTCCAATTGGAAAGGAACCTCTTGATTGCTTTCCATATATGCACCCTTCACATAGTTCCAGTGTGCCAATACTAGGTAGGCCTTTAACAAAGCCTCTAGCACTTAGAATTTGCAAGCTGGATATGTTAAGGTGACCATACCTCAGATGCCATAATTTGGCATTTTCTTCTCCCTTGACTACCAAAGCTCTTCCATTGGTTAATGCCAAGTCCATGTGAAACAGCTTGTTTCTTCCCATTTCAGCCTTTAGCAAGACTTCTTTTGTGCCTCCATCCTTGATTGTGCATATTCCATCTGCAAAAGAAACTGAGTAGCCTCCTGCCACCAATTGTCCAACACTTAGCAAATTATGAGCTAGTTGAGGGACATATTGTACATTGGATAAAGCTTTCTTCCCTCCTAGTTATGTCTGCACTGTGATCACTCCTAGACCTTTGACTTCAAGTTGCTTTCCATCTCCTATTCTGACAATGCCTTTCTTAGTCTCATCAATATGCTGAAACAGGCTCTTGGATCCTTTCATGTGGTTAGAACAACCACTATCAATGTACCATACTGTACTTCCATCATGATCCAAGCTATGATGAGCAATAAATAATTGTTCCTTCTCAGCATAATTGGACCTATGATCTTCTCTCTTGGGGGCAAGATCTGGATTCTTTCTCTAGCATTCTGCTTCCTTATGACCATTCTTGTTACAATAGTAACATTTAATAGGAGGTTTAGAATTCCCTTGTCTTCCTCCATGGCTGGAGGAACCTCTTCCTCTGCCTCTTCCACCATGACCACCTCTTAAGCCTCCCCTACCTCTTCCTCTTCCCCTATTTGGGTACTGGAAGGCTTGATCATTTGTTGATTCATTTTGGGCTTGAAAAGCTTGTTCTTCATTCTTTTCAGCCTCACCTCTGTGTCTTTCTTCATATGCCTGAAGAGATCCTTTGAGCTCTTCAAAGGTATAGGTTTCCATATCCTTAGCCTCTTCAATGGCACATATAAGCTGGTCATATTTTGGTGTAAGACTTCTCATTACCTTGCTTATCACCTGCTGAGATTGAACCTCCTCTCCATACGACTTCATCTGCTGCACCAAGGTTGTGATTCTTGATAAATAGTCCTGAACTGACTCCTTATCTTTCATGCGTGTGTTTTCCATCTCCCTCCTGAGAGACTGCAATCTGACCATAATTACCTTCCTATCTCCTAGGTATTCTTGCTTTAGAATACCCCAAGCTTCTTTTGAGGTAGAGGCTGCAGCAATGCGTGGAAAAATATCATCATCTAGAGCTTGTTGAATAAGGAAAAGGGCTTTGGCATCTTTCTTCCTTTTCTCTCGAAGGGCTTGATCTGGCTCCTGAGGCTGCTCATCTTCAAACCCTTCCTCCACCACACTCCATAGTTCTTGTGACTTGAAGAGGGTCTTCATTTTCAAGCTCCAAAAGTGATAATTAACCCCTTTGAACAAGGGTAATTGATTGGCTGAATTTCCATTTGCTGAGCTTTGCATTTTAGGGTGATTTTGTTTTGTTTTTCTTGGTTTTCTTTCGTGTATTTAAGACTGATCCAACCCAGGCTCTGATACCAAATGTTGAGCTTGTTATACACGAAGAAGAACACAAATAAAGAAGGCAATCAAAAGCTCATACGTTCATTGAATGAATTAGGCTTTATATAGCCATATTACAAGAGATAATAACCACTAAATGAAAATAACAAACTCCTAGTTTTAAGCCATGCTTGTACGTGCATAACAATCCTATCCACTAGCTACCAACACCTTCTAAACAATAGGTAACAACCTTAGACTTATTCAAATGCTTAATAACTAAACAAATAATAAGTAAATGTATCAAATGTTACGTATGCATGTGGCCATGCACTTCTAACTGGGATCACTTTCAACAAAAAGTTCATGAAGAGAGCTGTTGTCGGCCTGTAACCCAACTTCTCACATTTTATTTACATTTAAATTATTCGATTGAAAATTTTTGATTAGTCTATACCATGAAGGTACCGCGCCTGGTACCATAGAAATCGACAATATACTACGTACACGCATGACATTGCTTTACTAAAAGCCGGTTTTCCGTAAAGCTTTTTGAAAAAGCAGCTTTTTTGAAAATCTCCAAGATTCATAATTCAGGACTGGTATTGAAAAAAATAAGACCAATAGAATCATAGGTAAAACCTCCTGTGAAGAAACTGCAGAGAGTGAGAGAACCACATACCAAACAAAAAGAAAATGATAGCGGAAACTCACCTTTCGCAAATGAACACATACGACCTTCAAATCGGCGGCGTGGAGGTCAAGACTCGAGTGCTCGACGACGCAAAGCTTGTGCAGGCAGCTCTGGCAGAGCTGGGGGTCGGCGGCGACGGCGGAGCACATCCCATCGTCGGGCTGGACGTGAAGGTATCCTCCAATCTGTTCGGATGGCGTAGAAAATGCGATCTGTTGATCCTATGCGCCGGATCCAACTGCCTAATCCTGCAATTGAATCCCATGAGAGGCCGAAATAATGCCCTTCGAAGAGTCGCTGATTTCCTGAGTTTTAACGATGCTTCTTTCGTGTGTCCCAATGGATTTAGAAAGAGGACTCGTGGGCTCCCGTTGTTTGAATACGCTGGTGAAACCATTATGATGTTGGGGTCTTTCGGATGCAAATCCCGAAACGCGGGCTTTGAGTGCTCGGAGATTGGGGCCGTTGAGGTGGGTGATTACGCCGCTAGGGCTCTGAAAAACCCCAAGCTTCTCAAGTGTAAATCGTCCGACAAACTGGGGGAGGAAGCAGGGGTGGACCTCACTACTGATTCTTCTGCAAAACGGCGACCAAAGTGGGATTCTAAGGTTTTTTCCGAGGAGGAAGTTCTACATGTTATGCATGACGCTGTGGCCTGCTACCGTATTGTCCACAAGCTTCTCCATGAATAATAATTTCGCCAGTCACCAATCTTGTTTGTCTTTGTCGATCCACAATTTCAAGTAATTTTTATTTGTTATGGACTATGGAGTATTACTGCGTATATGTTCTGGTTATTTTATTGTCTCATCTCTAATTTCGTCTGTCGTTTATGTTTCTATTGTGGCCGGTTATGGCATTCTTAGCCATATCATGTTGAATTATGTATGATCTTGTAAGTAATATAGAATGTGTTTGGCAGTGTCTCTTTTCGGGTAATCAGATTTATTTATTGAGTTCTTTATGAATCACTAAGACCATTTGTACTGTTATAAAATGTTAAAGTTGGATATGAGATCCTGAAGTATACAACACAAAATTAATACGTCCGCCGTTTTTAAATAAAACGGAGTAGTCTACTTAGGCTTTTTGTGATATTTAAGAAGAAAACAGTATAAAACGGTAGTATAGAGGTGTAAGTGATGCACACTAATTAGTAGTGCATAATTACATGTTTTTATGTTTGATTTATGTTGATTGTTTGACGTTTTATTTAGTTTGTAAACATTTATGTGATTTCAATTGTAATTGTAATTTAGTCTTTATTTATAAGTTGTAAAGTATAGTTAGGATTTGTGGTGTTGGAAAGGAAGACTTTGAATAGAAGAAAACAAGAAATTTGATTGCCCAGGAGTAAAACTCAACCGGGTAGAAACCCCCACCCGATCGGGTATGATTTAACAGACGAAATTGCCAAGAAAATCACTGGACCCGATCGGGTCCCTTACTTGACCCGGTCAGGTCACATGTGATCCGGGACAAAACGACGTGCGAAGATCACCAGAACGTGGCGGATTATCTGATTTTGACCGGATCCGGTCGGGTAAGTACTTGACCCGGTCGGGTACCCGACCAAAGGTGTTGAAAAACACCTATAAATAACACACTTTTTCTTCTCTAAAAATCATCCCTTCTTCTATACTCCTAAGTTCAGTTTAGAATATCATTTCTTATATTTTGTAGCATGTTTAGTCTCCAAATAAGGAGCTAAACTTCCATTTCTTGGTGTTGCTCTTGAAGCTTGTTGATTATTAAAGTTGTGAGTTATCTATTTAACTTCTTTCCTTGAATATTAATTATTAGTTCTTTCCTAAATACTATCTCTAAATTAATGTTGGGGAGTGTTGCTAAGATGACAATTAGTTAACATCTCGACATTAGTTAGAATAGTATTTTCTTCCTCTATATTAATGTTGGGGAGTGTTGCTAAGATGACAATTAGTTAACATCTTGATATTAATTATAGTAGGATTCATCTCCTTTAATAATATTCTTCCTTGAATATTAATTAATTCCTATTCATATTCCATATTAATATTTTGAACATTACTTAAAGGATCAACTAGTTTTGTTTCATATATTAATTATCACTAGAAACGATCCACGAACCGATGGTTAATCGTTGATGGTTTCACAAGTAAGTAACTTCGGTTTATCAATGCACGGTCGTGGTTGATAAACTTAAGAGAGATTAATTTTGTTGGTTAAACCGAAACTGTTGTGTTGAGGTTATCAATCTCAATTGATTTCATCAAGGAGTTAAAAGATTAAAAGCTACTATCAAGTCGGTATATGACGGTGTTCTATACTTGACTAATAGTAAGAGTTATTAATGAACGGTCGTTGTTAAAAACTACCCTCGATGAATTGGATATACTTCTCGATTGAGTATTCGAGAGGAAATAAGTTATAGAGGCAACAATGATCGACTAAAATATATCAACAAGTGGAAAGTAGCAATGTCAAGTCTTTTTTATCTTTGAATTAAACACATATAGGTTGTTCATCTTAGTTCTTAATTAAATTAAATCATTCAAACCCAAAACCCCCCTTTATTTACTAAGTTTCATAAAAAGAGAATTATTCCTTTCCCTGTGGATACGAACCTTACTTCACTATACTACGTATTAGTGTTGTATTGATAAATTATTTTGAGTGCACCTCACGATAAGTGCACATCAGTAAGGTAAATTAAAAGGTAGGAAATAGAATATATTAAAAAGAATATAGTAATGATAAAGTATGAAAGAGAATATAGTATACAAGCTCGTCTCAAACTATACGAGGATTTTGTGTTGATTACTCTATCTAAGCCTTGTATAATAAAGAAATTGTGCAATTGTAATTAACAATTGCATTTTAATTACATATAAATATATATTACAATCGTACTATTTAATATTTGTGTTTAAATAAATACTAATATAGGAATATTTAATCAAATAAATAAGAATTTTTTATATTATATAGACTATATTTATAAGAGATATGACCCGAAATAGGACTAAAACAGTTTGAAAATTCCAAAATACGACTGCCATGTTTTTATTCCCAAAATAGGACTAATTACTGTCATGTTTTGTGACGAGCACTTCGTCGTAGTGCGTCAAAATAATTTCCAATACTAGCACTTATACGTAGTATAGCGTAGTAGAGTTCGTATCCACGGGGAAAGGAATACTTCTCTTTTTATAAAACTATGTAAATAAAGGGGGGGATTTGGATTGAATGATTTGATTTAATAAGAAACTAAGATGAACGACTTATATGAGATTTAATTCTAGAATAAAAGGGACCTGGTCTTGCTACTTTCCACTTGTTGATATATTTTAGTCGATCATTGTTATATCTACAACTTATCCCCTCTCGAATACTCAATCGAGGAGTATATCCAATTCATCAAGGGTAGTTATTAACAACGACCGTTCATTAATAACCCTTACTATTAATCAAATATAGAACAACGTCTTATACCGATTTAATAGTAGCATTTAATCTTTCTAACTCCTTGATAAAATCCATTGAGATTGATAACCTCAACACAACGGTTTCGGTTTAACCAACAAAATTGATCCCTCTCAAGTTTATTAGCCACAACCGTGCATTAATAAACCGAAGTTACTTACTTGTGAAACCATCAATGATTAACCATCAGTTCGTTGATCGTTTCTAGTAGTAATTAATGTCGGAACGTTAACTAATCATCATTTAGCAACCCTCCAACATTAATATAGAATGCGATTAAGGGAAGAATTAATAATCAAGAGAAGAAGTTAAGAAAATAACTCACAACTTTAATAATCAACAAGCTTCAAGAGCAAAACCAAGAAATGGGAGTTTAGCTCCTCATTTGGAGACTAAACATACTAGAGAAATATAAAGAAATGCTATTCTAAACTAAGCTTAAGAGTATGGAAGAAGAGATGAAATTTGTGAAGGAGAAGTGTGCTATTTATAGGTGTTTTTCAACACCTTTGGCTGGGTACCCGACCGGGTATAGTACTATACCCGACCGGGTAACGGTCAAAATAAGATAATCTTCCACGTTCTTGTGTTTCAGCACGTTAAAATGTCCCGCGTCAAGTCAGACCCGACCGGGTGGCTTAGTTGACCCGATCGAGTTTTGTCAAAAATCAGATATTCTCTACACTCCGGTGATCTTTGGCACGTTCTGGTGTTCCGGGTCACATCTGACCTGACCGGGTCAAGTAGGGGACCCGACCAGATCTAGCTCTTTCCTCAGGGAATCGGTTTTCAAATCAGACTCGACCGGGTTCAGGGTCTGACCCGGCCGGGTTTTGTGCTCCTGGACATTTTTATCTTCAACTTTTTCTCCTTTTCCTTGCTAAAAGCACTACCACTATTCTACAACTATACATGAAAGCTAAAAACAATTACAAACAAAATAAAACAAATGTTTACAAACTAACTAAAAATGATAGAAAATCTACACAAAGTCAATATAAAAACATACATTTATGCACTATAAACTAGTGCATATCAAATATCCCCACACTTGAATCTTTACTCGTCTCGAGTAAATGCAATCCAAGAAATCCTAAAATGATAAGTTCATCAACACAACCATCACAAAGTTTTTTTTTATTTTGAAAAATAATCACAAGGTATCCCAAACATAAAGAGAATACATCAAGGGCGTCTTCCATTCCAATTTCGTCATGCAATGAACCCTCTTTAGTCATCACCCTTAGGATCCTGCAGAATCAAAAGAAATACTCTCTCATTCTCTCATTTTGCCTTGGTGCCCTTTCGGGTTTTCAACCCAGCTTCCCACATTTTCTTTCAATAAATCTCACAAACTCACTCTTATTTTTGCTTTATTTTTGCTTAAGCTGCCCTTTGTGGGTTTTCAACGTAACAAACTGTTTTTTTTATAGAAACAAGAATCAAGAGTGTGAATGTGAAGATACCGGAAAGATCTCCCCCACAGCTAGTCCATGGCACAGTCCTTAGTGCCGGTCTGCATCTCCGCCATCAAAAAATCCTCCATAGCCCCTAAAGTGGGTATCCTCATCCATGTGATCACCGCTGTATCCGTCTTCCCCGCCTCTACCACTAGAGCTCGAACCGCCAAATATTGTTACATTGTGTATTTATACATTATATATAATATATTTAAATATTTATTTATAAATTATTACATAAATATTGTTGAATGCCTATTTGGTAATTCGGTTTTACCGATTACCGAACCGAATTTTTTTCGGTTTTTACCGAACCAAACCAATTTAGTTCGGTTCGGTATTCGGTATGTGAAAATGCATAACCGAAAATTCGGTTTACCGAAATTTCGGTTCGATTCGGTTCGGTATTACCGAATGAACACCCCTGGGGAAAAGGGAAAAGAAGGGTGAAGAAAAATGAAAAGAATACAAAAATTTTAAAAAAGATAGAGAAAATTATTTAAAAATGACATATATATGGACATGCACATCATCCGTCAACCGGGAAACCGGATCATTACCTATAAAATGGCTAATTTGATCGATTTTTGATACTTCATGGACCTAATTGATTCACTTAAAAGTAGCCGGACTCAATTGACTTTTTCTCAAAAGTACACGGACTTATTTGACAGTTTTCCCTTTTTTAAAACTCTTACTCCGTATAACTTTTTTATTTTTTATCCAAAATTTTCAATAAATATATCAAAATTCATAAATTTTTATGATCTTTTATATAACATCATTGTTGCATTTACAAAGTGTAAAAAAATTGATTTTTTTGGAGTTGTCTTGAACCAAAGAAAATACGAAACACAAATTTTTAAGAGAAAATTTTACAAATAAGACACAAATAATTAGGACTACAACTATGCGTAGGACATAAGTACAACTGATTTAACCATTTTACCCTTACTTTTAAGTTGCCAACCGGACCAAACCGCTTTCAAACCGCAAGCCCAAGAGAGTCTGGCAGCGCTCCTTCAACACAATCTCTCCTCCTTAGAGAGTCTGACAGCCGCTCCTTCACGTCCATTTCCACATCCCCAATCCCCGTCTCAACAAAACTTCTTCATCTTGCTTGGCATCCAACTGAAAACTCAATCGCGTGTGCTGCTACAAAGTCTGTACATGTATTATGCATCATAATAATAATTAATATGAACAGTAATAGTAATAAAATCACACACGGATAGAAAAGCACAATCTCTGGGGGCAAATTGTGAAAGAGGCTATCTTAGTATTTGTCTCGCTTTTCACTGCAAAATTACCTCACTGATGTGGGTCCACACAATGTAAGTTCAATGGCAACAAGGTTCACAAGCCGCATAAAAAATCTTCAATGGTTAACAACCACTGGTCTCTGCCCCATCCTCTTTTGCCTCTTTTGCCTATCTGTGTCTGCCATTTGTGAAGGAAGAGGTTTTACACATATGTGATTGTTGTGATGTGGGGGAAATTAGGAAAAAGAGGCGCTTAAAACGTTGTGAAATCTGGTTGAATTATTTGATAAAGTCCATATATAATTGGACATTAACAAGTCATTAATGTCTCAGTTGTAGACATTAAAACTTTAGAGGCCCTATAAGTCATTAATGCCTTAGTAGAAAATTAAAACAAAGCTATAAATGTAATTGATTCAACATCTTTTTTTATTGGTTGTGTTGTCTGAAATAAAGGCAAACTTCATGTCTACAAATTTAGATTACTTTATTGACTTAATTAATTCCATGACATTTATTTTATGAGTATTTGATTTCTCAGTCATCTTACGCAAGAATATAATATATTTCATGATGCCTCATGATACCATCCAGCTATGAAGATTGTTGCACATGTGAAGAGGAAGCTTAGAATAACACAATATTTAACTTCCTTTGTGCTATGTTCACTTTTGTTTATAACAGCTAATTTAGAAATATTATATTATGTTTTCTTATTTTTATGACTCTATTATGAATTAAAACATTTCGATAGCTACAAGGGAATACATGTACAAACACACATAATTAATCCTACTGGTGCATTAAAAAACAATGTTGTCCTATTTGTGATTATTGACTACATTTTACTCCTAGCTATTTAGGTAATTTACCAATTAATTTAATCTTATAACTTAAATCTTATAGCTTGATAATCACTAAAAAATACTACGCCCTTCACATATACGGATGAATACATTTAACACTAGGCATACAATTAAAATTGAACCAGTGGACGTAGCTCAACTGGTAGCAAGGGAGTGCCACAAGGGTTAGATCCCGGGTTCGAATCCCGTCAACTGCGATGAGGGGTTACTATGCTAAAAATGCATAGGGCCTCTGCAAGTGCCAGAGACAGAGCTCCACTCTATATCTTTCAGATTGGGATTATAGTCCAATTTACATCCTCCAACATACCGTCGGGGAGTTGAGGGGCCTTCAGGGATGGGTTACTGAAGAGTCTTTCAAAGAATTCGATCTGTTACTCTGCCCTTCAACTTTCTCAAAAAGCACATTTACAATTCATCAGAATAATTTAAATCGACAAGTAGGCAATGAATGGACGGGTTACCGTTCTTTCTTCACTTATAAATTCGTGTCGTGACCACTTCCAAGCTCGTCACAAGCCAAAATATTTTCACTCCATCGAATTTTTGTAACCATTCTAAAACAGTCATTACTCACTAGCCATGTCGACCTCACTATGTACCACCTTCAACTCCACCAATGGAAAGTACTACGTCCAATGCGCTGGCAAAACCATCGAAACCACCGTAACAAAGAGAGGCGCCGCCGTCAGCGACTGGGTCCGCGACATTCGCTCCAAACACGCCGGGAAGTTGTCGGTGGTTGTCGGCCTGGACAGAGAGTGGCGTCCCAACACTGCACCCAACTTCAGCAACAAGACCGCCACGCTCCAACTATGCGTCGAAGAAAAGTGTCTCATTTTTCAGCTCCTTCACGCCGACGAGATTCCCGACGCGCTTAAGCGTTTCATGTCGGATTCGACGTTTGCTTTCGTGGGGGTCGAGGTTACCAACGATGTCGGGAAGCTGAGGGAAGAGTATGGGCTGGCGTGTGGCAAGAGTGTGGACATTGTTGAGCTGGCAAGGACTAAGTTTCCGGGGAAGTTTAACCAGCAGGGGGTTGGGCTGACGAGTCTTGCCAAGGAAATATGTGGCGTTGATGTGACAAAGCCGGAAGATGTTCGGCGGAGCGATTGGGCGGCGGCGGAGCTGAGCTCTGCTCAAGTTCAGTATGCTTCCATTGATGCTTATGCTTCGTTTAGGGTTGGGCAATCTCTTCTGCAAGGAAATTAGTTCACGATCGATCGATCAGTTTCCATTGTGGCGTTCTGTTCCTTAATTGCTTTAATTTTCTTTCCTTTTCTATCGAATAAATACATGAATAATTATGTACGAACGTCCTCTGATCTATGGGGTTACGCTTCTATATGAAATCTAGTTTAATTACTCCGTTTGTGTTATGCTCTATCAATTTATCTTAAAAATTGAATTGTACTTTTATCTCATTTTATTCTCTTGTTTTTTACAACTTACATTTCTCCCAAATAGAAGTGCAATATATAATGTCTTAATTACTTAACTACTAGATATTTAAAAAAAATGGGAAAATTGGATTTTTAATCCCTCAAACAATATCGATATTGAAATATAATGCTCGGGTTTTCAAGTGTGTAATTGTAATAGGACATCTAAAAGTTAATAGGATTTCAAAAAATTCAATCGGAATGGCCAGTCTTTTCCGACCAAATAATAAAATTAAAAAGAAATCAATTAGAATATAATGTCCATTTCCGAACAATGACAAATACCCCGTAGTAATAAGAATATAAAATTTAAATTAAAGTAATGAGATAGATATATATGATTAAATTCCAAGAATAACATTCCAAACATATACGTTGTCCAAACATATTCTCTCGTACCCTATGTTGCACGGATACGGATACATCAATACGCTAAAACGGGAATACGAGTGCGGCAATACAGCATGTTCGAAAAATATATGATACGAGTACGGAGCTATATTCATAAATATTAATAATTATATATAGGTATATTTGCATGAATATATAATTCAGAGGATCACAAATAAAATAATAAAAGTACCAAAAATTAATACCCATAATAATATTTCAATGATTAGACTAAAAATAAAATAAAATTACTGAAACTTCAAATTAAATTCAAATAACACTTGATTCGCTATTTGCATTTAAATCAAAGTCTTTCTATAGGATTGGTTCCCATTCAAACTCGATCATTAAGTGACAATTTGATAAATTCAAATATTCTAATTTTTTCCATATATACTCCCAGAACCATTTCTACTAATGTCTCACATTTTATGGTTCTCACTTACATATCAATCACAATTGATTTAAGAATGAGGTGAATTGAAATTTACTAAGTGTATGAGAAAAGAAGATGTGTTACTACTTTATTCACTAATAGATAAAGTTGAAGAATGAGGATTTATGAGTGAGGAGTTGTGGCTGCCTGGCGGTCATTCAATTCTCTCTCGTACTTTTTCTACACTATTCATTACTCATAATACGATAGTATTTCATCCTTATATAATGTGTGCAAATCTATTGTAGTGAACTTTTAAATAATGTGTGCAAATATATTGTATGAGAAAAGAAGATGTGTTACTACTTTATTCAGTAAGAGATAAAGTTGAAGAATGAGGATTTATGAGTGAGGAGTTTTGTTTGCCTATGCGGCCATTCTATTCTCTCTCGTACTTTTTCTAAACTCTTTATTATCTCTAATATTTCATCCTTATATAATGTGTGCAAATCTATTGTAGTGAACTTTTAAATATAGAGGAAGTATTTTAATGGTCAGAGTTGTGCGTTGGCAAGCAAACGTGAAAAGTGATTTGTTACAACTAAAAAAGAACGGTGTGAGGAAGAAAACTGCAAAGATTATATAGATTGAGAAAAAGACAAAGTTTTTGTGAAATCTATGATAATTTTCTGCGAAAACTCCATAATAAGTGCTAAATGTTATAGAATTCTAAAATAGGATTGTAATGCTTTTATTTTCAAATTAGAAATAATTACTATTAAATTTGAAAAATATTAGTATGCATGTTTAAAGTCAAGTACACTCAAAACATAACACTAATCATTCCTATTCCAGGAATAAGAATATTACTGTGCTATTTTAAAATTGGGATATTTTGAGTTTGCACCCCACTTTATTGTTGAAATTAGACTTTGCACCCCATTTTTGAAATCTTTAGTATTTGCACCCCAACCTTGTATGAAAAGACTAAAATGTCCCTCAGTTAACAATTTTGTTGGCCTTCAACATATTTCTGATCGAAGGGCATTCTTATCTTTTCATACGAGGTTAGGGTGCAAATACTAAAGATTTCAAAAACAAGGTGCAAAGTCTAATTTCGACAATAAAGTGAGTGCAAACTCAAATTATCCCTTTAAAATTTCAAAAGCAATTTCCTCATTCTTAAACGTGAAGTTGCGGCTTTTGGTATTCACGTATAAAGTTACTTGGCTGGGTCATCCAAACGGCCACGCGCGGTCCACCTTAAAGTTTCAAGACATTCAACTCATTACTATATATTCATGCAAAATGATATGCAAATAGATGTAGATAGATCGATGCACAAAAATGTATCGATTTTCCCGTAATAATAACTCCTCTTCCTCCTCTTCCAACATCACGTACAACTCCTCCAATTCAAAGTACTACGTCCAGTTCGGCGGGAAAAGAATCGAAACCACCGTGACCGACAGAGCATCCGTCGCAAACGATTGGGTCACCATGATCCGGTCCAAACACGCCGGCGAGTCAACCGTCGTCGTCGGCCTGGACAATGAATGGCTGCCCCACCCGGTCAGGTACATGAGCAACAAGTCCGCCACCTTGCAGCTCTGCGTGGACGAAGACTGCCTCATCCTCCAGCTCTTCTACGTGGACGAGATCCCGGAGGAGCTGAAGAGGTTTCTGTCGGACTCCACGTTCGTGTTCGTCGGAGTTGAGGTCGCCGACGACGTGGGGAAGCTGAGGGAGGAGTACGGGCTGGTGTGCGCGAAGAGCGAGGATATCCGGGAGCTGGCGAAGAAGAAGTGGCCGTGGCGGTTCAGCCGGCCGGGGCTGAAGGATCTGGCGATGGAGATATGTGGGCTGAACATGCCGAAGCCGAAGCACGTGTGCATGAGTAACTGGGAAGTGCGGGAGTTGAGCCCCGCTCAAGTTGAGTATGCTTGCATTGACGCCTATGCATCTTATAGGATCGGTCAACGCCTTATCTTGGAAAATTAATTGCTTACGAGTGTTGGAGTACTACTACGTATTATTATTACTCCCAGAATAAATATTTACTCCCTACATAAGAAATTAAGCTCTTCGAGCTTTCTATTTCTGATTAATATAATTAAATAAATGAATTGAGCTTAGAAGAATAATTTTATTTGAACTTGTTTCACTCTCTGATCAGTTCAAACTAAATTAAACTTAAATATTAAACTAGAATTAGATTTATTTAGATATTAATTAATAAAAGTTATAAATATATTAGTTCTTTTCATTTAGCTATTAAAAATTACATAATTAATATTAACAATAATAGAAGAAGTTGCCCCGCATAGGGAAAAATGTAAAATTTTAATATATTGTAATTATAAAGTCTCAATGCACCAAAATATGGCAACACACTTTTAAAATGTTAATAAAAGTATGGTATTCCTATTCGGAAATTTAATATTCCAGTATTATTTTACTTTTTGAATTTTCTTTAATAACACTATTAATTATAGCGATTACAATATTGTTTAGAAGTTCAAGGCACACAAATCTATGTAATTCTTTACACAAAATTGTGTCATACCAAAATTTGTGTAATTCTAAATCGTTCTAAATTTATTTTTACTTTATCAATTTAATATAAACTACATACTCAAATTCAGTTTTTTAATAATTGTATCATTATCAAATATTTCAATGTCTTAGTGGGACGGATGTATGTAGTACGATAGTATTCATTTACATAGTGATAGAACACATGTATAATTAATGTACTGATTATATAGTTGAAAACCTTTTTTTAATTCCCACTAACACAGTAACACTTCTGTTTGGGTAGATATATAGGCCGTGTTTGGGAAAAGGCGGATCGGCCGTTTTTTGGCGTTTCAACAGATATTGGCATTTTGATTTTGGTCAAACCGCTGAATGAGGCGTTTGATAGATAGCGGAGGGGAATGGCGTTTTTCTTCCAAAACGCCAAATCTCAACACGCTGGTTGGAGCAGCGTTTGAGTTCGGCGGTTTTGTTTAATCTGCACAAAAGTCTGTCTAGCCCTTGTCGGTGGGGAACGGGAGATATGCACTTAGACAAAGATCCGGTGAAGGTTAGTGGAGATGTATGAAAATTGTTATCTACGTGTGCCTGTTCTCACACCCACGTGACCGAAGAAGAAGATTATTAGGTGAATTTATACCTGTTCGGATAAGAAATGTAGAAGCTTCATTGCAGAGAGCCAGAGAGGTAATCCGATGCAAGTGTTGCGGCAAGTGGGTGGATTTGATCTAGTCATATGCCCTATTATTTTGGGCTGGTCTTTTACGATTAAAGATAGTCTGAATTTTTTTTTGTTTGGAGATATTTTTATGTGTTTAGAGATAATTTTTGTTGATGGTGTTCGTAGCATAGCTAATACAAAGTACATATTTAAAATGTACCATTGTCCTTTTTTGTCTTTTTATCTATTAACCGCTAAAATAAAACAGCTAAGTTACCAAACATCTTCCTGAAACCCGCCAAACTAATCCGCCGGTCAAATCCGTTGACTCAATCCGCTATTTACAATCCGCTCACATAATCCGCTAACCGTTAACCGCTGATTGCCAAACAAGGCCATAGGCCGTATTTGGGAAAAGGCGGATCGATCGTTTTTTGGCGTTTCAACAGATATTGGCGTTTTGATTTTGGTGAAACCGCTGAATGAGGCGTTTGATAGATAGCGGAGGGGAATGGCGTTTTTTTACCAAAACGCCAAATCTCAACACGCTGGTTGGAGCAGCGTTTGAGTTTGGTGGTTTTGTTTAATCTGCACAAAAGTCTGTCTAGCCCTTGTCGATGGGGAACGAGAGATTGCAATATTGCTGATGCACTTAGAGAAAGATCCGATGAAGGTTAGTGGAGATGTATGAAAATTGTTATCTATGTGTACCTGTTCTCACACCCACGTGACCGAAGAAGAAGATTATAAGATGAATTTATACATGTTCGGATAAGAAATGTAGAAGCTTCATTGTAGAGAGCGAGAGAGGTAATCCAATGCAAGTGTTGCGGCATCTGGGTGGATTTGATCTAGTCATATCCCTAGCTTGTTATTTTGGGCTGGTGATGAAACGGTTAGCAACACAAGAGGGGGGGGGTGAATTGTGTGTGTGTGGAACCGTGACAGTTTTTCGCACAGTTCTAGTGTGGGGTTCAGGGATTTACGAAATAATAAAGTGCACAGGATTTAACGAGGAAAAATCCCTTGGCTCAAAGGGATTAAAAAACCTCGACCTCCCTCGTAGGAATTTGAACAACTTCACTAAAAAGCCTTTGAATGATTACAAGGGAAACTCTCCTAGTCTACCCTTGAGCCACCCCAACTCTATCCTCTCTAGGAAGAGTTATGCTTCTCTACCTTGTGGGTAGAGAGCCTCTCAGCTTTACAACAAAGCTCTCACAACACACTAACTGACCCGAGGATGCTACACTTAGTCAATCCTCAAAAACCCAATTACAATATGAAGAAAGGAAAAGGAAACTCTGTTTGGAACTCCGTGAGCAAGTTCTGGTGCCTTGGACTTAGTAGATATTCTTGTGTATATTTCTCAATAGAAGCTTGGTCAAGCACACTCTTTCGTCTGGTCCTTTGTCCAATATATATAGCATCCGTAGCCTCTTCTTTCCTTTTATTCAAAGATCTTCCGGCTCACAATTATGGTGATCCTCGGTCAACCATATATATATATATATGGAAGTATATTATGAGTAAATCACTCAATAACAAAACAGATATGGAGAATATTACGTATCACATATAAGGAGAATATTTTATTCTCCTAATATAAGCATCCAACGGACATTATGTAGCAACAACATATTTATATAATCAATGATTAGTTCTCTTTAACAAGTTTGAATATGTAACGATCATATAAGTAGGATATTCAAATAAGGTGCTACAGATCATGCAACCCAAGATACTTTCCAAAATTTATCTTTTAATATAATGATTTTTTAACATTAAGTGATAAGGAAATATTTACTTAGTGGATCTAAATATGCTACGGTCAATTTGTGCAGGATATTTATGTAGCATAAATAATGATTCTTTCCATAAGCTGTATAGGCCAACTCATAGAGGTGAGTGCTTAGTCATATACGGAAAGATATTTAAATTGTGCCACGTACATTAAGAATATGCATGATCAATCTAGGCATGTAGATGAGGTATTATCATGCAGGCACATATTAATTTATTCATTATGCACAACAATCAGTCATATAGATCAGAACTAAGTATAGTTCCAATTCTCGTTCCTAATGGAACTGAGAGCAGTTCTGTCCGTCATTCCACCTACATGGTTAGTCATCAACAAAACAACATATTCAACAAATTCCCCCTTTTTGTTGATGACAAACATTAGGTGCCATAATAAAGGTGTCCCTGCAGATTAGTAACAGTCGGTGTTTTTATGTAGCAAAATAAGCAGGCACGTGATTATTTCCCCCTTTTGGCATCAACCAAAAGGAAACAGAAAATAGTCAAAACAGTGCAAAGTAAAATTTCAAAGTAGGACAGCTTGTTAAGATGTTAATGTAGCAAGAACCCTCCCCCAGAAAAGAAATGTTTAATCATCCTCAGAAGAATAAATTATTCTGCGATTAGTCGAGCCAGATTCACAGAGCCGCTCTGCCACTTCCTGTTTGAAGGACTGGAAATCATTCCGAATAGCATTGGTGGTATCAGCCAGTGTGTCCACCTTTTTTGCCAATGCAGAGATGGAGTCTGAAAGGGAAGCAAATTGGTGTTGAAGGTAACGTTCCAGGAGATCTATGCGGTCAGTGATTGGGGGTACCACCATCATTGGGTCGATGGAAGGAACTGAAGTTGGTTTTGGTCTGGGTTTTTGTTCTGAAGAAGAGGGATCTGTTGGTTTAGGAAGAAGGTGAGAATTGGATATAATTAGGCCTAGATTGCTGAGACATCTCTTATCCAGGACTTTGTAAGCTTCTTCAGAGGAGAATTTGTCTAGAGTAATGCCCTTAGAGAGAAATATTTTGGTGAGTAGCGGGGCATATGGAATCCCAATCCTTCGGGATGAGGAACTGATGATAGAACTGAGATGGGCCATCATCAATCCAGGAAGGTTGATAGGAACTTTGTTGGCTAAAAGGTACATATATGTCGGTTCAATTCTAGAGGGTGTGAATCGCCCTTCTAGCCTAGGAGTCAAGTTGTGATGGACAAAGTAAAACAGTAGTTTGGGAATTGGGGCAAGGCTCGCAACGTGAAGAGAGGATTCAGAAATGGTTGGGTTAAAGTATTCCAGTGCAACTGTTTGAGAGGTGTTGGTTAGGGGCCACTCGGTTTTGTTATATTGGCATATACCAGTACATGGAACACCCAATATTTGACCTAGATCACTCACACTTAACAGAATTTTTGTGTCTTGTACCTTAGAGGATAAGAAACTGTCTTTGATAATAAGATTAGCCAAAAACTCTGAGATGAGTTCAGGAAACACAGAGGGGCAATTCTTGGAATCAAACAAGGTCTCCCATTTTTGGAACGAAATAAGCTCAGTAAAATCAGAGGTTTTTTGAGTAATATCACCATAGGAGATGGAAAGTACCTTAACTATTCCCCGGGAGAGATATTCCTCCTTGAGTCGTGCGGCGTCTTCCTCGGCTACCCTCCCCATCCTTGGATATTTTTGGGTGGAGTCCTTTTCGGAGATGATTCCCTCAGCGATTGCTCTTTTCCGGGTGTATTTTTGGGGCAGTACCTTTCCGTCGCGAGTGGTTGGTTTTCGTTTGAGAGGTTTAATTGGTGATGGAGAGTCTTTATCTGGTTCCCCCTGAGAGGACACCGGGAATCGTGGTAGGGAGTCACCAGATTCGGAGTGCATGGTCGAAGGAGGTGAGGCGTCGAGTTCAATCGGGGTAGGTGATGAAGGTGGGGGTGGTTTTACGCTTCTTTTCCGGCTAGAACGACGAGGAGCAGTGGGAGGAGCGTAGCCTCTTGTTTTGACCATGGTGGTTTTAAGAAGGAGAAGAGAGAGGCGGTTATGGAAGGTGTGTAATATGGAAGTGGCCGGTTGTGTGGGAGTTACGTCCCCCAAAAAAAACTGACAGTTTAAAAACTGAAAGATTTTAGTTTTAAATAAAGATTTTCTTCTTAAGTTGTTAAAAAAAAAATATGAAATAGTTTTAAGCATTGATGAGACCAAGTTCAAGTAGAATTAATTCAAACCTTTCTCTTCCCAGGGGCTTTGTAAAGATGTCGGCAATTTGCTTGTCAGTGTTGCAATATTCTACCTTGATTAGCCCCTTTTCCACGCAATCTCTCAGAAAGTGATGCCGGATGTGGATGTGTTTTGTTCGTGAGTGCATGACTGGATCCTTTGAGATGCTAATTGCGCTAGTATTGTCACATAGAATTGGTGTGCAATTTAGGATGATCCCGTAGTCGCTTACTTGTTGCATGATCCACAAGGATTGTGAGCAACACGATGCGGCTGCTACGTATTCGGCTTCGGCTGTTGAAAGAGCAACTGAGTTCTGTTTTTTAGAGCTCCATGAAACCAGGCAGGGACCTAGGAAGTGAGCCGTTCCAGATGTGCTTTTTCTGTTTAATAGATCACCTGCAAAATCAGAATCTGAATATGCAATAAGATTAAAATCCTCATTTCGTGGATACCATAAACACAGATTCATAGTTCCTTTGAGATATCTGAGTATCCTCTTGACTGCTTTGAGGTGAGATTCCTTGGGATTTGCCTGAAACCGGGCACATAGACCTACGCTGAAAACTATGTCGGGTCTACTGGCAGTTAGGTATAGTAGAGACCCAATCATTCCTCGGTATTTCTTTTGGTCTATGCTGGTTCCTGCTTCGTCTGCATCCAGTCTGTCATTTGTTCCCATCGGTGTTGTCATTGTTTTGCCTTCACTTGCTCCATACTTCTTGAAAAGCTCCTTGAGATACTTTTGTTGGGATATTTGAGTTCCTTTACTTGTTTGTTTGATTTGGAGACCAAGGAAATAATTTAATTCGCCCATCATACTCATCTCGAACTCGGAGCTCATAAGAGAAGAAAATTCATCACAAAGTGAGTCGTTAGTAGCACCAAATATAATGTCATCTACATAAATTTGAACAACCAAGAGGGATTGATCTTTTATTTTTAGAAAAAGTGTTTTATCGATTTTTCCTCTTTCAAAACCATTTTCCAAAAGAAATTTAGATAGACGTTCATACCAAGCACGTGGTGCTTGTTTGAGCCCATATAGTGCTTTATCTAGTTTGAAAACGTGATTAGGTAAATCTGGATTTTCAAACCCCGGTGGTTGTTCAACGTATACCTCTTCCTTAAGATAACCATTCAAAAATGTTGTCTTGACATCCATTTGGTGGAGGGTGAAACCCATATGAGCTGCAAACGCTATGAGCATCCGGATTGCTTCTAGCCTTGCCACCGGTGCGAATGTTTCATTGAAATCTATTCCTTCTTGTTGATTATAGCCCTTGACGACTAGCCTTGCCTTATTTCTGGTGATCTGTCCATGCTCATCAAGCTTATTTTTAAATACCCATTTGAGACCAATCACGGTTTTATTCTCGGGTCTTGGTTCTAGATGCCACACCTTGTTTCTTTCAAATTGATTTAGTTCTTCCAGCATAGCTAGAACCCAGTCAATATCGGAGAGAGCCACTTCATGGTTCTCCGGTTCTATAAGTGATAATAAGCAAAGAAAGTACAGAAGTTTCTTAATTTGGATCTCGTTGTTACTCCCTGATTTAGATCTGTTAAGAGGTTATCCAGGGGATGTGATCGATGATGTTTCCATCCTCTTGGAGCGTTGGGTTGATCCACAAACTCGTATACGGTATCTGGACCTGGACCAGCTGGTTCTTCACTTGGATTAGTCGTGGTCAGTCCGGGTCCTTCTTCAGTTCTAGGTTCGTTTTGTTCATTGTCCAGTGATTCCTCAGTTTGGTCATGGCTTCTTTCAATGTGTTTATGGGAATGATTTCCCTTGCGGAGAATTCCTATGTCTCCTTCATCATCTTGCCTCGGTTTTAATGAAAGGGCTTCATCAAAGATTATATGGATGCTTTCTTCCACACATTGAGTTCGTTTATTTAGAACTTTGTAAGCCTTGCTGTGAGTGGAATATCCGAGAAAGATTGCCTCGTCACTTCTTGCATCGAATTTGCCAATATTGTCCTTCCCATTATTGTGGACGAAACATTTGCATCCAAATGTTCTTAGATGACTGATGTTTGGTTTTCTTCCTTTGAGTAGTTCGTAGGGTGTCTTTCCTAGGAGTGGCCGGATCATAGCTCGGTTAATTATGTAGCACGCTGTGTTAAGTGCTTCTGCCCAGAAGTTTCTTGCCAGACCACTAGAAATCAGCATTGTTCTAGTCATATCCTCCAGTGTCCTATTCTTCCGTTCTACTACCCCATTTTGTTGAGGAGTTCTAGGAGCGGAGAAGTTGTGGTCTATGCCTCGTTCTTTGCAGAATTCCTCAAATAGTGAGTTGTCAAACTCGGTTCCATGATCGGATCGAATCTTGATTAGGTGCAACCCTGTTTGATGCTCAATTTTCCTTACAAAAACAACAAACTCATTAAATGTATCTTTCTTACTTGCAAGAAAGATAGTCCATGTAAATCGTGAAAAGTCATCAACAATAACTAACACATATTCTTTGTTTCCCCGACTTCGGACTGACATTGGACCACACAAATCCATATGAATTAGTTCAATGGGCTTGCTTGTGCTCACAAAATTCTTTGTCTTAAAAGATGATCGAGATTGTTTTCCAGTGGCACAGGCAGAGCAAATATGATCAAGGGAATATTTGATTTTAGGTAGCCCGACTACCAATTCATTATTTTTGAGTTTATTGATTAACGAAAAGCTAGCGTGGCCCAATCTTTTATGCCAGAGTAGGGGATCATTGTCAATAACGCTTAGGCAGGTCAAACTTATACTTGGCAATAAATCGAGATCAACTTTATATGCATTTTCAAGTCTCTTGCCTTCTAGTATGACTTGCTGAGATTCGTTATTGATAATGCGGCATACATTATGATCAAAAACTACACTGTTACCTCGATCGCAAAACTGAGAAATGCTAAGTAGATTAAACTTTAGACCTTTGACTAGGAAAACATTGTCTATTGCATGGTCGGGTGACTTTCCAATTTTTCCCACATCAATGATTTCTTCTTTGCTGTTGTCTCCAAATGTCACCTTTCCACCACTAAATGGCCGCAGTGAGAGGAACAAAGATTTATCTCTGGTCATGTGTTTAGAACAACCACTGTCAAGGAACCAATGATTGTTCCCCCTCACTCGGCGCTGTTCCAGGATTAAGGTTTAGTGCGTGGAACCCAGACCTGCTTGGGTTCCATTTTATATTGGTTTGAGGAATATTTACTGAAATTAATGCTTCTCTCTAAGGCCTGTTGTCGAGAGTGACATTGATACATAAGATGTCCGTCTTTGCCACAATATCCGCAAATCCGGCTGTCATATGTATCAACATATTTGGTTTTCCGATTTCCAAAATGATCTTTGCCCCTTTTATAAAATCCTTGGTTAGGTGTTTGACCATAACCTGTTTTGTGCCTTTGAACCAGCTTATCGAACCAGGTTGGTCCAGTTCTAGGTTGTCTGTGGTACGGTCTAGAACTGGTTTGTTCTCTAGTTCTATTACCATAAAAGGGTTGGTTCTGAAAACTCGGTTTTTGATTTGTTTGAGAATTTCTTGGAATGTATCCGAGACCAGCAGTCTCGTTTTCCTTTCTTTTGTACCGAGAGGGTCCAGTTCTAGAATGCTGTCTAGACCTGGTTCTTACCTTGGTACTATATGGTTGGTATTCCGGTTTGTTTTTAAAATCCCGTCTCTCGTCCTCAAGGCGATTGAGATGATTTATGAGCAAGGCAATGTCCAGAATTTTTCTTAGAAGTTTTTCTTCGTCATTAACTTGTTTATTCATATTATCGAGCTTGAGTGAGCAAATGAGGTTATCTTGTTCCAAAACCACTTCACTATACTTGAGTCTTTCATCTATTAACTCTCTCACTTTTGTTTCCAGCCTTATCTTGGCTCTAGTGGCTTCCTCGAGTTAAATTACCAAACATGTTCCTGAAACCCACCAAACTAATCCGTCGGTCAAATTCGCTGACTCAACCCACATTTACAACTCGTTCACATAATCCGCTAACCGCTAACCGTTAACCGCTAATTGCCAAACAAGGCGATAGTACATGAGCAATTGAGCATAGTGGTTTTGCAAACATGGAGAAGATAAATAAAGCATAACAGAAGGAGTAGAAATTTAAATTTTAATACTGAATTTCATAGAAGCGTAACCCGGAAGGGAGCACGTACATTATTATTCATGCATAAATATTTGATAGAAAAACAAAGCAAGTAAGAAACAGAACGTCCCAACAATGGAAACTGATCAAGCATGAATTAATTAATTTCCATGGAGGAGAGACTGCCCAACCCTAAACGAAGCATAAGCATCAATGGAAGCATACTGAACTTGAACAGAGCTCAGCTCCGCCGCCGCCCAATCGCTGCGCCGAACATCTTCCGGCTTTGCCACGTCAATTCCACATATTTCCTTGGCAAGACTCGTCAGCCCAACCCCCTGCTGGTTAAACTTCCCCGGAAACTTAGCACTTGCCAGCTCAGCAATGTCCACACTCTTACCACACGCCAGCCCATACTCTTCCCTCAGCTTCCCGACATCGTTGGCAACCTCGACGCCCACGAAAGCAAACGTCGAGTCCGACATGAAGCGCTTAAGCGCGTCGGGGATCTCGTCGGCGTGAAGGAGCTGAAAGATGAGACACTTTTCTTCGACGCATAGTTGGAGCGTGGCGGTCTTGTTGCTGACGTTGGGCGCAGTGTTGGGACGCCACTCCCTGTCCAAGCCGACAACCACCGACGACTTCCCGGCGTGTTTGGAGCGAATGTCGCGGATCCAGTCGCTCACGGCGGCGCCTCTCTTTGTTACGGTGGTTTCGATGGTTTTGCCGGCGCATTGGACGCAGTGCTTTCCATTGGTCGACATGTCTGATATGCAAAGACTGGATTACAGTGGTTTCAAACAATTTCAATGGACTGAAAGTATTTTGGCTGGTGAGGAGATTGAAACTGGTAAGGACACGTATTTATAGCCAAGAAAGAACGGCAAGCAGTCCATTCATTGCCTTTTCGTGGATTTAAATTATGCTGAATAATTTTAAATGTGCTTTTGGAGAAAGTTGAAGGGCGGATCAGAGTAACAGAATTTTTTGAAAGACTTGGGAAATTGAATTTTGTATGCTTTTTGTGAAATGTATTTATTGCTCATTTATGAATGAGTTATACTCCCTTCCTTCTTTTTTTAAATATAATATTAGACTTTTTCCACTATTCATATCTACTTTGTCTTTATTTTATTTATTAATGTATTACTCCGTATAAATTAAATCAATATATATAAAAGAGTAACTTTTTAAGAGAATACAAAGCGCCGCATAATCGTGTCATGTCATTATATATAATAATTATTTACTTATTTTTATACCTTTTGTTTTCATTAAATTCTATTTTTGATTGCATATTGATATAGGAACAAAAATCCTTATAAATCCACCTTAATTAATTTGGTAAGTTTCGAATAAGTAAAATAATTTTTGGTTATCAAAGTGAAATTCTAATAACGTTTATTGATATGGAAACTAATTTATATTATCCTCTGAATTGCAACATGTTGAATTTTACACTATTCACATGCTCTACTTTGACTACATTTTACGCTATTATTTTATGAAAAATATTTTTAAAAAAAATATTGTTCAATTCATCTCATTACAAATTTTGAAAATCTGATTTTTAATATGTTTTTACTAATAGAATTAAGATATAATCACGAACAAAGATGTGCGTTGGTAAATGTGAAATGTTGACTGTTGCAACTAAAAAAGAACGGAGGGAGTATTAGTTTACTACACCGAATTAAATAGAAACAAATATGCAAATTAGTTTACTTATTAATTTGACAACTATTAATAAATTAGTAAGCTTCAAATAAGTAAATAATTAAAAATGAAATTAAAAATTATAACCAACATAAAGTATATACAAGTATATTTTCACAAGTAAATATGTTTAGCTAAGCCAAATAAGTACTCGTACATTTTTTTGGTTATTTCTTTATTTTACACCTAAAATTCAAATATGCCTTCACTTTTGAAATAGATTCCTAATCCAAATTAGAAAATCTTTATAGATTTATGAATTCCTACTTTTATTTTAATAGAATGTTTTTAATTGGAATGATTTGAGTTCTAGATTAAATCAGATCAGATCAAACTTTAATAATTATAACAATAAATCACATAAAAAACAGACATCTAATATACTATATTAATTCATACCAAATCAAACCCGAAAGTTTAATTCAATTAAAAACGTTCTGATTAATGAGTAACTATAAGATCTAACAATTAAGAAATACAAAATTGTTTTATTATCTGGTTCATAACAATTATGTGTACTTGAGATGCTTATGTAGAAGATCAATTTAACTTTTTTTCATATTTTTTTTCTTTGTTTCACAAATGGAATAGATTTCACATATATTTTTCATGATTCAGACGATTCCACCTATTTAACCATAATTCAATCAATTTCAGCAAAATAAGTTAATTCTATTTACTTTAGTATTATCAAACAGACTCTATATTAGACTAAGTTTATTTTTCTTTTAAATCACATTACATGTGATCCGATAGAAATTAAATTTCAAATTAGCTAAATTACATACTGTCCGTGCATCGCACGGGCTTGAAAGCTAGTTTAAAAAAGAATACGGTTAAATTCCTCTTATTTTTAAGTTTCAAAATCTATTTTTTTTTAATTATTTACTAATAATGTATAAAAGATATTAATGGTCAAACTTGTGCGTTGACAAACGTGAAAAGTGGACCGTTGCATTTAAAAAAGAACAGAGGAAGTATTTAAAATGTTTTTTCTTAATAAAATAAAGAATTTAAAAAAAAAATAACTAAAATGAGCATCTACAATAAGTTCAGCCAATACAGTCGGAATTTACGTGTTTAATTAAAAAGTTGACTGATAAACTTGATTGAGCCGAAAAACAGAGTCACCAAATTAAACGACCTCTTAGTGATGAAGTGTTGGTAAATAAGTTTATTGAAACTCGTTTATGTCATCTTTTTTATTATAAGAGTATGTCCATTCATGCTCCTCAAATTTACGGTATTCTATGATTTGTTATTGTCATGTCACTGCACACAAAAGATCTCAAATAATATCTCTAAATCTATCAACTTTTGCTCGATCATGATCTATATTGACCCAGATTTTTTATGGGACATACATTAAATTTGAGATCTCTAACTTAAATGCATTCACACACCCACTATCATGTATTATATACTCCTTGCCACGTAATATATATGTATATTATACATATCTACTTATATATAAATTGTGTAAGAGAGTTAGTTAGGGTTTGTTTCTGTCACTACACTTCCAAGGTTAACTCCGTTTACTGCTCACCCTGCATAATGAGTGGCGGATGGTTTTCTCATTTCATTTCACATTTCACTCTCCGCCATAGCTCTGAGCGATGTGAGGGTCTCCTCACCATCAGTAACCCGTATGCTCTCTAGCAAGGTTCGTTGCTGGCACTGCCCAAAGATATTTCTAAGACATCAGTGGTGATGTTGAATCATTCTAAATAAAATTCTTGTATCCTTGATATGCACTAATTAGTAGTGCATAAATGTATATTTTTATGTTTGATTGATGTGTATTGTTTATCGTTTTATTTAGTTTGTAAACATTTGTGTGATTTTAGTTGTAATTGTATTTTAATCTTCATTTGTAAGTTGTAAAGTAGAATCAGGAGTTATGTTGTTGAAAAGGATGACTTAGAAGTGAAGAAAAATGAGGTTTTACTGTCCAGGAGCAAATACCCGACCGGGTAGAACACTTCACCCGGTCGGGTCTGATTCAACAACCGAAAATACTTGGAAAGTGCACTCACCCGGTCGGGTCCCCTATCCCACCCGGTCGGGTCTGACTTGACCCCGGACACTTTAACATGCCGAAGATCACCACAACGTGGAGAATATTTGATTTTGACATGCACCCGGTCGGGTGGGCACTTTACCCGGTCGGGTATCCGGCCAAAGGTGTTGTAAAACACCTATAAATAGCCCCATTTTCCTTCACTTTTATTCATTCCTTCTTCCATACTCTTAAGCTCAGTTTAGAATAGCATTTCTTTATATTTTTCTAGCTATGTTTAGTCTCCAAATGAGAAGCTAAACCCTTCCATCTTGGTTTTGCTACTTTGAAGCTTAATGAATTTGTAAGTTGTGAGTTATTTTCTTTAATCTTCTTCCTTGAATATTAATTTTTCCTTTCAAATACTATTTCTATATCAAAGTTGGGGAGTGTTACTAAGATGACAATTAGTTAACATCTTGACATTGCTTATAGTAATAGGTATTTCTTCCTCAATGTTAATATTGGGGAGTGTTACTAAGATGACAATTAGTTAACATCTTGATGTTAATCATAGTAGGATTCATATTCTTTAATATTCTTCCTTAAGTATTAATTAATTCCTATTCATATTTCATGTTAATATTTTAAACATTACTTAAAGTATCAACTAGTTTTGTTTCTCATATTAATTATTACTAGAATCAATCGGTTAATACGCTTGTTATTAATTCGGTTCTTTCAACGGTAGTAAACTTGGAATATTAATGCATGCATCTCATGGTTAATATGCTAAGGAGAATTAATTATATTGATTAAACCAATAAACCGCTTGTGTTGAGGTTATCAATTTCAATCGTTTTCATCTTAAGTTTATTGCTACTATCAAGTTAATATACTGCGCTTGTTCTATATTGACTCGAGAGTAAGTTTTATTAATGAACGCATCTCGTTATTAATAACTACCCTCGATGAACTGGATATACTCCTCGATTGAGTATTCGAGAAGAAGATAGTTAAAGATATAACCGGGATCGGTGAACATTTCATTAAGTGGATAAAAGCAAAACCAAGCCTCCACATCTATTAATCAAACTCATATAGGTTGTTCATCTTAGTATATTTAAATCAAACAAATCTAAACCCCCCTTGATACTACTTATATAAAAGTATTCCTTTCCCCGTGGATACGAACCTTACTTCACTATACTACGTATTAGTGTTGTATTGATAAATTATTTTGAGTGCACCTCACGACAAGTGCACGTCAAATTTGGCGCCGTTGCCGGGGAAAGGCAATTAATTTTTCTTTTATTTCATTTCAAAAAAGAAAAAAATCAAAAAAATATTAAACAAATATATAAAGAGTGCTTATTTTTCTATTTCTGAGCTTAGTAGAGTTTATGGTTAAACATCGTTCCATAAACGAAATCACATATCACAAAAACCCAGAATTAGAACAAACTTTCGAGCAGTTGAAAAGTAAATTTTCTAATACCGACTCGGAAGAATCATCTACCAGAGATTCATCCACCGCTAGCTCTAGTTCTAGCGAATCTGAAGAGTCCTTCCACATGGCTCTAGAAACAAGAACGCTGAGGGAGCTTGATGTGAGTTTTCTCGCACTTTAAAAGATTGTAGAATAGTGGTGAAAGTACGAGTATCGTCTCCACGGGGACGGACAAAAGGGAATCAAAGATTAATTAAATTCAGCGATTAAAAAGGAAATAAAATAAAATAAATGCGTCGTGCGAGATTGGTTGGTTGAATTAAAATTAAACTAATGCGAATGAACGATAAAAATAAAAGATTGGGTTCTCTCTAATTAACGACGAAGGGAGCAGGGATTGATTCCGGGGTAATCAGATTTCTGGCAGATCAGGCCTAATTACATGAAATTAATTTAATTGAGCCTAGCTAATCAATACTAAGTTCTTACCGCTCTCGCGGCGTAGAGTACAATAATTTAGGGGACCAGGCTGATCTCTCATGCGACAGGATCCTAAATTATTGCCACGATGAACGAGCTTACGATCCCTTAATCGTTACTAATCTCTTAGCGAACGATTAAGTGTGTGTGAATGTGTCCTAGAACAAATTAGATCTCTCTTAATT